CATCAGCGTATTGTATACACTGTAATGTACATACGCTTCATTCACACTGCATCCTGGTGCTTGGTACTTAGATGGTGTTGTTGTTAGTGTGTGCATGCATGGACGGATGCACAAGTACATAAGGATTTGAGGAAAATAGGTTTTTGCAGTGAACAGCCCCTCATTTTCTCCTCTGTGGATAAAATACACAGGAGAAAAAGTTTTTGTTTTTGTCTCATTGGCGATAGGGAAGTGGATTGAAGATACATTTGTGATTCATTGTTGTTGTCAAACTGCTGTGGAAGTGGGAGTGTCCCACCCGTTTTTGCCCTGGAACTCATTATCAGGAGCAACACCACCCTCCCGACCTGTCTATGAATAGAAAATGATTGGGAGAAGATTGACAAAAGAGTGGGAGAAAGGGCAAAGAAGACGGAGAGGGGTAAAAAAGTAAAGTAAAGACTGATTGATAAAAAAAGACCAAGAGACAGATAATAAAGGAAAGGAGAGTAAAGTAGGAGGGGGAGAGATGGATGATGATGAGGGTCTAAATCCGTGAAAGGGGCAGTAAACACAGTGGGTTTATTGGGCCTAAATAACATTTAGCTCCATTGCTAGCTGAAACATTAAGAAGAAAAAGATAAAAGTGACTTATCCGTGATTATGTTGTGGGTGTTGTATAACTTATTAAAAGTTGTGGAAGGTAAAAGTTTTCCACTTCATGCTGCCCCAACATCGCCGGCGTGTTAGCAGTGTATATGTATGTGTGTTTGGAGGGCTTAAGTAGCTACTAATCAGGACCAGCTTTACCCTCTGGTGTAAACTGAGGTGCAAAGATGTTTCTCTGTGGTTAGCGGTAGTGGTTTGCGATTCACGATTATGTGGGAACGATCATTTCTGCATCACAAATTGAATTAAGTCTGTAGCAAACAAACATATTTTTCTTAAATCTGGAGAGCAAGATGCATAGACTAAGGCACCTCTGCAGCACTACAGTACTTCATTATAATTCTGTTTTGTCACACATTATACCTTACATTTTACATTATATTTCGATGAATTGTTCAGCCCTATTAGCGATGCCCCAATTCGGCAGAGAGCAACTGCATTTATCAGGAGTTCACACTACATGCAACTTGTGAAATTATTCAGATGCCTCAATCAGAGTGTACAAGTACAGATAAGTCAACAAGTAATCACAATTATATTTGTCTCTTCTTTGTTAGCAAACAAAACTTTATCATAGCTCGACGGTGTCAGCTGCTGTTCAAAGAGTATATCCCTCCCACTGCTGCAGCGCCACAGGTATGACACCTAGTAATCAACGACCTGAAAGCTCCCGTCAGACAGCAGCACAGCAGTGAGTTTCTCAGCAGGACTACCCCAGAGAGATGAGACGAGAAAAATGTAAAATACCCAGAGTTAAACAGCTTGATTCAGAGTTATAGGGCTTTTATGTTGAATTGTATATGAACATGAGCTGAAGTTCCACTCTATCCCGAAACAATGGGATATGAAGAAGTAAAAAAAAAAAAACTTTATTTGAGGGGAATTTAAGTAATCTGGTACAAGACTTAAAGAATGCACCATAAACATCATATGTCAAGGTATGGTAGTCAGGATGTGCCAATCTTTGGAGCTAACGTGATAATTGCTTTTTAATGTAGGAGCTAGGAGGAGTACATGTCCTGATGTCTCAACCTATGATGACACCAGTCTCAATACACTCATGTGTAGAACTGCGTGCAGCGTGTCAAGGGGCTTGTGTTGCCCTTAATTAACTGACCAAAAGGCATGTGTAGATACCAAGCATGGAAGGTACCACACCCAAAAGATACAACTTAGGTCTACAGCCTCATTAGCCGCTCTATGAGGCTGTGCTGTACTGTTCACCATCTAAGAGTAACATGCCAGTGCCAATTCTGCTATGTTTTGTGCCACTTTATTAATCAGATGAGAGGTTTCAGTTGGAAAAGTGTGAATGCTGACCTGCTGGTGGTGCAGGTTACCCCCTAAGGGTCAGAGGATCATTAAGTATCAAGTACTCACCCTGTGAACACCATGAATGTTTGTACTTGTGACAAACTGTCCAACAGTTGCAGAAATATTTCAGTCTGGACCAAAGTGGATCTGACTAATTTTACCATCCCAATATCCAAATTCCTTTAGTTCATAATGCTCTTTCTCAAAGTGCAATTTTTTTCTGTATGAGTTTTAGCTGACCTTATAGCGCACACACACATCCAGATCCTGATAACATTAAACTAGCCAGTGCCTCATTTATTTGTAAAAGAAAAGAGTTCCTCATTGGCTTCAGCTTTGGCTAATACACAGGTGATGAAAACACAGACACTCCTGCACACACCAAATGACTTCTCCCATGATAGCCTCTATTGTTGGTATTGTGCGGCAGGGAGACACTGATTTGCCGTGGCCAGTATAATTCTCTCATTACGATTTTAGAAGGGGAAAAGAGGCACAGCAAGGTATGGGGCGATGGAGGGATGAAGGTCCAGAGGCACGGCGTGCCACTAAGAACAAAACCGGACTGATAATGGAACAAATCCATCAGTCTCTCGCTCTCCATCTCTGTCTTTCTCTCGTCATCCATCCACAGGCCTTACTCGAGCTTTAGATGGAAGTCATTTCAGAGAGCTTGAGAGAAAAGTGCCTCTGACGAAATGCAGAGAGAAAATGGAGTACAAGCAGTTTTAGCGCTGCCGTAATGCAATGCAATCTGGCAGAGGGAGGGAGAAGGAAAGGGAGGCTGAAAAATAAGGGCAGAGAGAATGGAGGGATGACGCAGGAGGGAAAGAGAAGAAAGCCGGCAGACATTTAGGGACACGCGACGTGAGAGGTGGCGGTGAGATCTCCCTCTCTGGGTGAGTATAGCAGCAGAATAGAGCTGTTAGTGTGTTTCAACCACAAGGTTGCTGTGACCTAACTTGGGCTCGGCTTCTAAGATCCCACTCGGCTATGGCTCATTCTCTCATCATTTGTTCAATTTTGAAGCATATGCGTCTGTGTGTGGTGCGAGAATGAAAAAATACAGAAAAAAGTCTATACACTCGCCTGAGGGTATATTAAAGAGACCCCTGCCTTCTCCTCATGATACTCTCCGGTCTTTAAGACTGTTGGCTTGGCGTTCAATCACTACAACAACCTCACCTAACAACAATGACTCCAGTAACCTTGGCCATCCATTAGCCTGTCTAAGAACAAAAGCTGTTTCCATAGGGAGCCATTAGACGAATATAGCTCTGGGAGGGGAAGTATCCAATACACCAGATGGGCTGCGCTTTATACCAGCTCCAGGGCTGGACAGCAGTCTCACAGAGACTGTTATTGAGAGGGAGAAATTAGGCTAAATTGGTGCAACACATGGAAAATGTTCAGGTTTGATGCTGGAGTCAATCCATGAGTGCGAAACTGCAGGTAGACACTGATTATTGCCTAAAGCCTAGCAGATATATGCATACTGAAATGTTTTCACATACTTTTACACAAACTTTTTATCATATTTTATTCATTTGAAAAGCCAGTGTATTTCCACATCTGCGGTGAATTAAGGGTTTATTTCAAATAGTTTGACGACAGGGAATACAGAGGTTCCAAACAAGACTCAAACTCCAAGTAAGATCAGGACAGGGAGTCTGGGACAGGAGAGTGACAGGCCAGGAGAGTAGAGACATGAGTTAGTTCAGTTTAATTTAAGAGAGAAAACTTTAATCTAGAAGGTGTACATTTGTATTTCTGTTTATATATCTATTTAAATAGGTATTTTTCTTTTCCTTTCCTGACATTGCTTGTTTGTCGTCCATTTACTGTTTCATGGTTTTTTGGGAATGCATCATACCCCAAAGACACTAGAGCTGAGCCAGCCAGCTCTTTTGTCTGAGTGGATCGTTTTTAATCACAAAGCAGGTGGAATATTTGAGTCTTTGAGTGTTGTGAAAATACCTTCAGAACAACTGTAAGTGTTGTTAAGTGACCAACTATTAGAGGGTATTTAAGGCCTTCCAAGCATGTAGGAGAAACTACAGTGGCCTCACAAAAAATGTGAAAGGCCCTATCTAAAGCCAGTGTTTGGGCAACTGTAGAAACATGGCGGACTCAGTAGAAGAGGATGCGCTCCCTCTGTAGATAATAATGGCTCATTCTAAGGTAACAAAAACACAATGATTCTTATTTTCCTGTGATTATACACTGATGAAAACAAACCTATGAATACTCCATTTCTAACAGCAGATCCTCCAAAATGTTACACGCTGGACCTTT